TGCATTGTGGTAAACTGTGGTCAATGTCATGAGACAAAGTGTATGTGAACTGCTGTATGGAAAGCGAATTTGCTCTGTAAATCTTCACCCAAATAACAATTGGAAAAAAAAAAGCCCCCACAACGAAGCCGGACGGGGCCCGGCTTCTGGAGCACGGCTGGGCTGGCAAGCTGTGACCCTGGGCGGAGTCCCACTCTGGGCTTTAGTCTGCTGGGGGCGGGGCCAGAATCATCAGCACCCAGGGCGGCTGCGGGCATCACGAGCGACAGAGCGGCACCCGGGGTGGGCCACCAACACAGGACAAGCCCTCAGACGGATGCAGGGTCCCCTCAGTTGCAGAGACAAGCAGCTGCCGGGAACGGGGAGCTTTTTGTCCCTGGGCTGTGTGAACCGAGGGCAGGAATGCAGGGCGTCCGTCCCTGTGAGAGGCCGGGTCTTCCTGGTCGCCCACTCACACTGCTTCTCCCGACCCGTCCTTCCCGGAGTCCCAACAAACCCCTCCACCAACCCACTGCCTCCCAGCAGGCTCTGGAAGCACAGGCTGGTTGCTATGGCGACGAGGTACTAACTCCGCCCAGAGGGGAAGCCCCAAGGACGTGCTGCAAAGGTCTCGCAATGCGCAGGCGCAGCATGAACACAGGCCTCTCTGGCTCCATAGTCTGGGCCTTCAACCACTGGGCCAAAATTACCTTAAGAGGCTTATGGGTCCTAGGCAGGAGGAGGTACCCCTGATGGGAGGAAGCAAGAAGGATGACTATGTGGATGTTGGAACCTGGCTGGGTCCAGCCTCCGGTCCCGCATGGGGCAGCAACGAGGTCCTTTTTATTCCTTCTGAGAACCCACGCATCATGGTACCTCCCACCACACCCATTTGGAACCCCAGGACTTCACTAGTGTAACTGTCTCAGGCTTTGACAATCAGTCATTCTTCCTCTATTGTTCTCCCACACAATGGGCCATGCACCCTGGAGGCTGGTTACCTCTGCTCTGGATGTCCCGTACCTACCTGGAATTCCTCTTTCTGAGTCTTGGCCAAAGTCTATTGGATTGTTCATCCTCCTCTCTTCTGTCACCTAGCACACTCCTCATCCTTCAAAACCCAAATGTCCCATTTTCTGGGAAGCTCTTTTTCAGACTTCTCCCTCTGTTTACTATAAACTCTTGAATTTTGTGTGGCCAATAGGGACCTGGTGTTGGAGTCACCCAAACGGCAGAGAGTGGGGCTCTTGGGGAAGCTCTGTTCATGGGCAGTAAGGCAAGGGTACAACTGAGCTCCCCACCTCCTGCCTGTGGCCGCACTGCGCCTGCACAGAGCTTCGTGGGTGCTGGGTCTCTGGAGAGGTGAGAACCCAGAAGACGCCGGTCACTATCATCCAGTCGCCCCTCGTGTCTCCGGTCCCCCGCCCCGCCCCGGGCCTGCCCAGCGGGGCCGGGGACCTCCCCCTCATCGGAGCACGCCTGCCTGGCTCCAGCAGGCCCCTGCCCTCACCTGGGCCAGCTGTCCGCGTGTCCATGTCCTGGCCCGGCCCCACCTGCCCGCACAGCCGGCCTGGGAGTCCCGGTCCTCAGCCCCGAGCCGGCGCTGTCATGTGCGCCCGCACCACCCCTGGGGCGGGGGGTGGGGGTGGGGGGGAAGAGGCCCTCAGTCCCTGCTGTCCCCGGTCCTTCCTGGCTTGACTAGTCACTGGCTATGCGCCCCGGGGGTGCGGGGCCTCAAGGCCACTGGGATCAACGGGCTTTTCCTCGTGGAAAAGACCAAGATTTGGCAGAAATGTATCTGAACGTGCGAATAGGCCACGTGGGTGGGCGGGGCTGCAACTGAAAGCCCCGCCCCTCCAGCTGCCCACCCTCTCTGAGTTTCCACTTCCTGTCTGTGAGCCCTGAGTCCTGCGGTTTGAAAACCCGCCCAAGTGGGGTCATCATCGGCACAGTGAGGCTCCCGGGGCACTTCCACCTGACTGCTAAGGGCCTCGCATGGTCACATCACCCCAAACGTCCTAGCCTCCCTGTGGTCCACACGGGGAGGGCTCTAACCTAGGGCAGTGTACTGACCGAACCCCTTTTACAGAGGCAGAGGCTGGGACCCAGAGGCACTGACCTGGCGAAGTCCACACCAACTCATTTCATGTTCACTAGAAAGCTGGTCTCCCCACTAGACCTAGAGGGCTACAATGACCAGGGGCTGCAGAGCGTGGGCCAGGCTTGGGAGGGCCCTTGGCTCAGGCATCTCTCCACCAGTACCTGCCACCCAATCCCACGGACCAGAGCTGCTGCTTCCCTTGTAGACAGCACCCTACCCACCACCCTGCCTCCGTCAAGGCCTCCACAGCTCCTGTCACCAAGCCCAGTGGGCCCTCTCCCCTCTCCTCCAGCCAGACTTCGTCCTCAGGCCCTCAGGGGGGCCCCACCACCACACCCCCTTCTCCCAGCCCTCTCCTCCCTGGCTTATGGTCTCCTCGCTCAAGGCTCCGTCCTGGCTCCTCAGACATCGCAGTGCCGGCGGTCCCAGGCTCTTCACCCCTGGCCTCTCTGAGCAAGTTTCACACAGACACCCACTGGCCACCAGACATCACTGTGGGTGTCCTCCAGCACTGCCAACTTAGCCTGGGCAGGGCTGCACTCCCCTCGCCGCTGCACCCCGCCCAGTAAACGAGCCACACTCCCCCAGGCACCTCAGACAAGAGTCCAGCCTCCTAGGGTGCACATCCTGTCACGGAAGTGCTGCTGGTTCACTGCACTTCCTCAGTGTCCTTGCATCTGCCCGGCCTGCCTCTCCATCCCCATGCCCTCATCCTCCCTGCGCTGAGCCACGTCTCCAAGCCCTCCTCCACCCACTGCCAAAGTGCCCCGGCCCTGTCCTGCCCGTTGGTGCAGACTTCCTGGGACCTGGGGGCTGAAACCCAGACTTCTGGGGAGGACCTTCAAGGCCGGCCACGATCTCCCCGCCGCGCACTCGTCTTCCTGTGCTGCACGCCTTTCTAGGCTCAGACAAGCAGGAGGGCCCTCTGCCGGGGAGAGCGCTTCCTAATCTGAGCTTTGATTGGCAGGGAGAGTGCTGCTCTATCCTGATACTCGCCTCACCCACAAGCCTGCTGGCCATGGCCCACTCCTTCCGGGGCACTCCCCACACTGGGCTGGCTCCAGGGGGTCCACCTCTGTGGCCAGTGTCCACTGTCCCAAGAAGGCCACAGGCCCCCAGGGTCTCAGCAGCCACTGGGGATGCCAGCAGAGCCCCGGGGGAGCAGCAGGCCACCCCCTGGGTCTTCGTGAGTTTCATCACATAACCCACCCCCTGGGTCTTCTTGTGTGTCACACAGCCCAGCCACACCAGACAGACGGATGCCAACGGAGGCCAGCCGGGCAGAGAGCCACAGTGCCTCCTTTGCAGCAGGCACCAGACTTGCCCACTTTCAGAACCCCTCTTCTGCACGTAAGGAGGCTTGGTGGTGCAGTTGTTAAGTGCTCGGCTGCTAACCAAAGGGCTGAGCACACCAGCACCTCTGCAGGAGAAAGATGAGGCAGTTGCCTTCCGTAAAGATGACCCCACAGGGCAGTTCTCCTCTGTCCTCTAGGGGCGCTGTGGGTCAGAATGGACTCCACGGCAGTGGGTGTGGTTTGGCCTTTGCTTCTGTGAAGACTGACAGCCTTGGAAACCCTGTGGGGCACTTGCATTCTGTCCTCTAGGAGTGCCCTGAGTCAGAGTGGACTAGAGAGTGTCAGGTTTGGTTTGGGGTATCCTGCCTGTGTCTGGACTCAAACAGGCACACGGCAGGGGAAGGCTCCAGGCAGCCACTGTGCACGCCACAGCTAATGAACCAGTCACAGCTCCAGGACCCTGGACTTGGAGGGGCTGGGTGGACAGCACGATCCAGGCCTGCTCCACACCCCCCACCCCGCCCCCTGTGGCTTCTAAAGGAAAAGAATGTGTGTCCATGTCTGGCCCACGGTTTGTTTAAACATCTTACAAACTGCTAGAGCTTCTGAAACAGAGAAGGGTGCCCGCAGCTTGTCTGATGAGCTCCCGCACACCTGACCAGACTGCTTGAGGGCCCTCTGGTAAGCCTCATCACCTCGCTGAGCCCTGGCCGCCTCACCTGTGTAAAGGGGACACAACACCCTGTCGGGGAGCTGGAGGTCAGAGGAGACCAAGAAGTCAAGGGCCCAGCACTGAGTGGCGCACGGCAAGGGTGTAATAGGCGGTAAGTGTTTATGCCATCCTCATCATCACGGTCATCCTTGGCGAGCTAGCTCCCCCTCCCATGGCCGGGGGTGGACACAGCTCTGAGTCAGGCTCTGCCATCCACTACTTAGGAGATGCCGTCTGACCATCTCTGAGGCTGTTTCCTCAAAGCTACACGAGCGGTCCATGCTGGCACCTTCCAGGTCCCAGTGAAGATTAACAACACACAGCATGCCCAGTGCATGCTCACTATGGAGCAGGCGTGGCTGCCCGCACACGGCCCCAGGGATGCAGCATGTGCAGCCATCTCTTCTGCCCTCCAGGAGCGCGATGGAGCCCACCTTGCCCGCGTGCGCAGCCTGAGGGGCCACTCACCTTGCCCCCGTCGCTCTCGCTGCCCGCGAACGCCCGCTTCCGGCGCACATAGAAGAGCAAGTCATCTTGCTGCGGGGCCCACTTCTCCATGAAGTAGGTGGAGAACATCCAGGTCCAGAAGACGATGCGGTCATCCTTGAAGCACCCTGCAGAGCAGCCAGAGGGCAGTGAGGAAGGACCCGCCAGGCTCCCGACCCGGCCGCTCCCAGCTCTGGACCTGCCCCTCCGGCTCAGTGATCAGCGCACCATGGGCCATCCAGAGAGCCCACCTCCCGGGGGAGGCCACCTCCCAGGGGGCCCACCTCCCCCGCCCCGGGAGCCCCGCTGTGCCGCTGTGGCCGCAGAGCTGCCGCCAGCCTGCGGGTGAATCAGCAGCTTCAGCGGGAAGAAGCTGGCGCGGGGAGTGCGTCACCGTCACGGCAGGTGGGCTGGGCGGGAGATCCTCGCCTCGGCATCCCTCCCCGCCCCCAGGCTGCGGCAATTCCCAGAGGAGACTCCGGCTTAAAGGAACAGCCCCACCTGGGAGACTCCACACCCCAGCGGGAAGGCCCCCCACCTGGGCGTCTTCAGGGCATTTCCTTAGGAGAAGAGCCTGCAGGCTCTGGTGGAAAGATGGGGTTTCCATGCCAGCTCTGCCTTCTGGTCCCCAGCCCCCACCCTCACCCCCAGTCAGCAGCTTTGGTGGAAAGATGGGGTTTCCACGCCAGCTCTGCCTTCTGGTCCCCAGCCCCCGACCCTCACCCCCAGTCACCGGGAGCAGGGCCCACAAAGGAGCCGTCCCTCCCCTTCCAGAGAGAGCCAACAGAATTCAAGGGATGCCACAGAGCTGCCGCAGGCCACTGGCTTCTCTCCCCGCCTCTTCCGTGCCCTTTCCCAGAAAATGTTGCCTCGGTGGCCAGGTCCGAGCTTGTCGGTGCTGGGGCCCCTACTTCGGGCACTCAGAGATGGGGAGGGCTGCACACACCCAATGACCCTTCAGCGAGCCCAGGGCACACCCACCCAGGTCCACTCCCCCAAGTGTTGGCTACTGAATCTGCAGAAAACCCTAGCCTTTCTTTAATTTAAGGAGCTCTGGTGGCAAAGTAGTCAAAAGCATTTGGCTGCTGACCAAAGGTTGGTGGTTCAAACCCAAAAACGGCTCCTGGGTAGAAAGATGAGGCAGTCAGCTTCCGTAAAGATTGACAGCCTTGGAATCCCTGTGGGGCAGTTCCACTTTGTCCTACAGAGTTGTTAGGAGTCAGAATCCATGGGACTGCAAAGAGTTTGGCTTTTTGGGTTTGTCACTTGTTGACAAACTCCAAACTCAGAGCTATGTGGTCACTGGGAAGTCCAGCTCCCCAGTCTCACGGCCACCCCCTCCACTGGGCCACCATCATCTCAGGGACGCACCAGCCTCTGGCTGCGCCCGCACCGTCCACCCTCCATGCGGAGCGCTGAGCAGAGAGCTCTGTGTGGCCCATCTCACTGAGCGCTCGGTCGCTCTGTCATTACTGCCCCATTTCACAGAAGCAGAAAGTGACTCTCCAGCATGAAAAGGCCACATTTCTGAAGCGAGAGACTGACACAGCGCTTGGACCTGTCAGCCTCCCCACTCAGGCTCCTGAGAAAGCTCCGTGGGCAGCCCGTTCCCTGGCAACCTGTGAACGAAGGCACCAGCTAAGAAGGACCAATTGCAGTAAAGGCAGGGGCTCGCAGGGCGGGCTGGTGGGAGATGAAGTCTCGGGAGTGATGTGTGGGCGGCAGGGACTGCGGCCAGTCTGCTTCCACCGTTCCTGGCCGGCACAGCCCCACCCCTGCTTTACAAGGGTGAGAACGCTTCCCTATCACCTACCCTGGGGAATGAGGAAGGTCTCTAGGCCGCAGGAGTCAGTCCCTGAACCCAGACTGCCTGCTACCACTGGCTCTTAGCAGGGAGGCAGAGCACACAGGGGCTCCCAGGCCAGCACCTGTGTCTCCTGTCTGGGTCTCCCGTGGGTATGACAGCACACCCTAGAGGCCCATGACCATGCAGCATCACACAGGGGACAGTGACAGAGAGACAGAGCACGTGATCGGTGTGTTGGGCCAATGCTGGCCCTGCCAATCAAAACTCAGAGCCATGTGGTCGTTGGGAGTCCAGCTCCCCACTCTCATGGCCGCTGCCCCCCATCTGGGCCAGCTTCCTCTCTCGGGGATGCAGCAGTCGCTGGCTCCGCCCTCACCACCCAGCCTCCATGCAGCAGCCAGAGGGCGTTTTACTCACACAGGAACCTGACCTTTTCCTGCCCCCACTGATTCCTCATAAAATCCAAGGTTCTCACCAAGCGCTCCCCCCACCTGCCCCTCTCCAGCCACACTGGCTCCTGCCAGGCCTCACTGCCACCCGGAACCTTCAGGCACCTGCTCTTGCTCTGGTTCTCTTCCCTAAAGTAGCTCCTTGTCACACAGCTTTCAGCTTAAACGTCCCCTCTTCGAAGAGCCCCAGGGTCCAACCTCCCAGCACATCATCATAACCTTGCTCACGACCTGGAAGTTTCCCACTCATTTATGGACCATCCTGCCCTGTAGGAGCTCTGGGGGCGTAGTGCCCAAGGCACTTGACTGCTAACCAGAAGGCTGGCGGTTCAAACCCACCAGCCACTCCTCGGAAGGAAGGTTGGGCAATCTACTTCTGTAGTGATACCACCTCGGAAACCCAAGGAGGGGTCGCTGAGTCGGGTCTGACTCCACGGCACATAACAACAACAGCCCTGTATGAAAGTGTCACGGTAGGGATGTTATCTTGATTGCACTCCATCCAGGGCAGTGCCAGGCACTCAGTAGGCACCCAGTAAGTACGGGGCCCACGAGTGATCTTCCCAATGCAACAGCAAACACGCTCAGCAAGGCGGACAACTGGCCACGAGGTACCCCAGTAGGAAGGTTCCCCTGAAGCCTGTGGCTGTCACCCCGAGCACTGAGCATGGGTCTGCCACCTCCTTCCAACCAGAGCTCCTCACCAAAAAGACATCTTCCAAGAAGCCCCAAGTGCCCAAAAGTGAGGGCGGACTCCAGAGAACTGATAAGGCACCTGCTTGACTCTTCCTGGGCTCAGAGAAGTGACTCCACAGTGGGAGTTACCCCTGTCACCGCCGCCGGGCTGAAAGGGGCCAGGTGGTCCCACCACGTGCTCTGGGCAGGCCCAAGTGGGAGAGGAGAGGAGGCTGTCTCCACAGCCCTGGTCATTAGGTCCAGCCAAGTCCCTGAGCATCTTTCTCTACTCTGTGGCAGCAGAGTGAGTTAGGAGACATGGCCATGGAGGTCGGCGACACCTTCTTCCCCAGAGCTTGCCTGAGTGCTAAAGGGAGCGCAGGGCTCAGAGACTCACTGAAAGCTCTCAGCGCCTGTGTAGAAGCCGCATCGACATTGTCACTGCAGTGCCAGTCTGACAAACCAGCAGGAAGAAACAGAGACTGGGCGGGAACATGTACACCTACCCCCACTCGGAGTCCAGGCCGTGAGGAGGGCAAGAGGCACTCGGGACAGAAAGAGCTACCAGAACCGCCATGTCTGCTGAAACAGTGATGGAATACAGAGGGTGGGACCCCTCTGTCCCTGAGGACGCTCAGAATTTGTAAGCAAGAAGAGAGACCACAAAGGAAAGGTTAAGAACTGGCCTCGTAACACAACGGCAATGCTCACAATGTATAAAGCCCATAATGTATAATGGCATCGTAGCAAGTTATAAAAAAGTGCTCCCGGCCCAGCAGATAAATGGGTACAGTGCCAAAGCAGGCAGCATGCCAGGAGGGAGGTTAACAAAAATCTGGGAACGCTCCTGTGCTGAGTCAGTTCCGACTCACAGAGACCCTACAGAACGGCCCCAAAGGGGTTCTGAGCTATCAGCAGGCCTTTAATCCTATGGAGCTGCTGCTGGCTTCCAACTGCCAACCTTTCAATTCGCAGTCGAATCCTTAACCATTGTGCCATCAGGGCTCCTTATCAACCTCACAAGTCATCAAAAGCTCAAACTAAAAGAACAAATTAGCATATTTGTTATTTAAAAAAGAAACCCAAAACTTCTGAGGTCTTAAAAGCTTGCAAGTGGCCATCCAGGGCACAGTAACTGGTCTCTATTCACCTGAAGCCACAGAAGAAGGAGAGTCAGGAGGAGGAGGAGGATATGGAATATGAGGCTAACTGCTTCCATGAACAACTGCTTCCTCTGCCTTGAGACTAGAACTGAATGGTGCCCAGCTACCATCACTGAACATTTTGATCAAAGATTCTATAGAAGAATCCTGATCAAAAGGGGGGAAATGCAGAACAGGGTTTCAAAGTCTCATGGATTCCAGATTTCCTAGTGTCATAGAGGCTGGATAAATTCCCAAACTATTGCCCTAAAATAGTCTTTAAACCTGAAACCAAAAATATTCCCTGAAGCCTTCTTAAAAGCAAATAGTTTTTTAACTAGTATAACAGGTCCACCTTGAGCCTTATGCTCTTTTAAGATCTATGTCTATGGGATCAAACTGACAACAGCAACTAAAAAAATCAGATGGGAAGCTCAGGGAGCAGTGAGTGTATGCTAATGGGGAGGAACAACTCGGAAAAGGTGGGTGAGGGTGGGGGCCCAGCTCGGAGAAAGCCATCACAGTCACTGAGCCGTCCGCGGGAAACTGTTGATTGGTGTGTGTTCTGCTGCATGTGTTCTCAACAACATAAATACATAAAAGTTAAAAATAAACAAACAAAAAACCTACTGTCATCAAGTCAGTTCCAACTCATGACGACCCCACGTACTATTTTAAAAACAGCACTTGCGAAAACGGTCAGATTCTCAGAGTTAAAATAAGTCAGCCACACCTAGGCCTAGGTTCAGGAGAGAAGACAGCGTATATCTATCCAAGAACTGGCGCAGGAAGGTTCACAGAAACTTGACTCTTAACCTCAACATCCATCAACAGAAGAAAGGACAAAGGAGATGCGGCTTAGCCACGCGGTGGTCTGTGAGTCAGCGACAAGAAGAAAGCAGTGACCACCCTGCAGCCTGCAGAGACCTCAGACGATGATCCTGAGCAAGAGAAGTCCGGTGCCACCAGACGGTGCTGTCCGATTCCACGCCCATGAACTTTCAGAAAGGGCAAAACTAGCATGCAACAGGCAGGGGGGCCGTGGGCCGTGGGCCGGCCAGGCTCTGTACCGTGCCTGTGG